AATTAGTGATATTATTACTATTATTATTATTATTATTATTATTATTATTATTATTATTATTATTATTATTATTATTAGCTTGGAGAAGTTAGGTTTAGAGTCTTATTTAAAGAGATCTTGTGCTTGGTATGAGAAAGTTGATTTCAAATAAAAATATGAATTGATTGTGAGTTTTATCGAATCTCGTTTTACGTGTTTTACGAGAGAGTATCTCGTTTACTCGTATCATTCCCATTCGTACGCTTCTCCTACATCATTTATGAAGATTTTTTTTCTAAATTACAAATAAACTAACTCTTATAGTTTATGAATGGTTGGTTTGTGATTTAAAATTTTGTCATTCGTTTTTAAATTATATTATTTTTTATATATGACTCTTTTTTAATGTAATGTGTAGTTTTATTTTGAACTCGTAATGCTGCAAAATAACTTTCCCGTAAACATTATTATCTAATGGTTTAAATAATTTTTATTCTAGCGTTGTTAGCGGGAATCTAGACAGGCGTCTGACCTGTTCTCCCATTTTATTCTCCCATTGGGAGCTTTGTACTTTTATTCGCATATTTGTACGCTTTTGATTTATAATAGTGCATCTATCGTTTCGGAAAAAAAAAATGGTTTAAATAATAAGTTAAAAAGGAGAAAAAAATAGTAATGGTAGTTTCATTTAGTCATTACTGAAAATGGGCCAGGCCGACTGTGTTGTCTGAAATTTGGGCCAGTGCAGTCTGGTGAGGTGGTTGTTGGGCCAAAATTTTAATCAAATTAAACATGTAAAGACATTTCAATTTTCAATAAGATTTTTAACCAAAGTATATATTTGGAGCTTAATTTGACACCACACTCTAGATTGTAATTCTGTACTCAAACAAGGTTTGTCTGGTACGTTGGATTTTTGTAAGAAATCCGAATTTTTCTCATATATATTTATTCAAGAAGCGTCTTCAAAAGGCCTATTAAGATTTTTATTTCAACTAATTTATCTTTTAATTCTACCATACACTTCTATTATATGAGTTAGTTTTTCAATCATATAGTCATAAATTATCAGCTCGAAATCAACTTATGACTATCGATTAACTGATTAGCTATAAAGTACTTCTTTAGGTTTTCAATGGCTTCTCAAGCTAGCTCACCTTAGACTAGGGCTGCAAACGAGCCGAGCCGAGTTGAGCATTGGCCTTATCGAGAAGGATTGACTTTCTTTTAGCTGCTCGAACTCGAGCTCGACTCGATAAAAAATTACAATAGCTCGACTCGAAATCAAAATGCTCGAGCTCGACTCGAGCTCGACTCGAAAATTTTTAAGTGGAAAGATGAAATTACCATTAAGGATCCATGCTAACATATATAAGGGGTATTTTAGTAATTTAACATGTATCTCGAGTCGCTCGACAAGGCAAAATATGGGCTCGAGCTCGACTCGAATTCGGTCAAAGTCGAGCTCGAGTCGAGCGCTCGCGATCGCGAGCCGCTCGATTCGTTTGCAGCCCTATCCTAGACCTACTACAAGTCTACATCAATTGCTAAAATCAGACCACATCACAATTTCTACCGAACAAGACCGACCCACGCTAAGTGTTGAAAAATAGAGTCAAACTCAGACGGGCTCTTTCAAATGATCGGGCCACTATGCCAAACCAATAAAGCACGGTTCGCTTCATGCACGGAAGTTAAAACACCAAATCGTTCGCGGGCCGGGCTGAAATCGTGCCGTTAAGATCTTAAAGATAGAAAATAAATAAATAAACTATATATATACATCAAACAATTCCATATGCATACATAGGCCAAACTTTTGTTTTCACCAAATGGTTATAAACAGGTGATTCATGCAGAAACTATTTGAAAATAGTATGCAAAGGACAATTAATTGCACATGAGAACATCACATGGTTTTGCCCTTTTATTATTATTATTATTTTTTTTTTCCAATTGATTCAAGAATTTAGAATTTAATTTGTATGTATTACTTGTTGAAGTGCATTTGTCCCACCACTTAGCACACAACAAACAGCAAAATTTCCACCCATAAATTTATGATGAAAAGGATTGGTGCACAAAAATGTACCCTTTTTGACAATAGGTCCCATGAAAAAGGAAATAATATATACACTTGCATCTCTTTATAGATTTATATGATCCAATGATTTATTTTCATTTTGAATCCTTAGAATATTTGGCCTTACAAATTAAGCACATAATGTACTAGTTATGTTATGCTAAGTTGAGTTCAATGTAATTAGCCAACACTAATTCTTCACTATTATAAGTAACGAGTCAACCCAAGGCAATTAGCTAAATTGTATATTGAAATTGAAAAAAAAAAAAAAAAA